CTGAAAATCACATCAGTACAGAATTGTTTAAAATAGATGATTGAAGTCTGAGATCCCTCAAAGTTTGGGAGTTTTGCCTGTTGCTGAGATTGAAACCTCGTTGTCCTTAGATCTCACCAGGGGTCTGAACTGTTTGTGTTGCAAGCATATTTTTGGTATGTGTTGGAAGGTGCAAAACTTACAGTAACATATTTCAGTTAGCAGCTGGCAGCACCACTGTGTCAGAAAAACAGATCAGCTATGAGAGGACACTGACCTACTTACTGTAGGAGAGTCACTGTGCAAGGCAGAATCTGAGGGCACAAGGCTGCAACCTTCCTTTCTGAGCATATGTGTTTATATATGAGAATATAATGTTTGCAGTGGGAACCCAAAAGCCTTGTCGTGGGCTCACTATGGGCAGGGATCTGGCCCAATCCTGCTGGATGAAGTGGAATGCTCAGGCAATGAACTCTCACTTGACCAGTGCAAGAAGAGTGATTGGGGACAGCAAAACTGTGACCACATTGAAGATGCTGGGGTCTCCTGTGACCCTTTCACAGGTACAGATCTACATGTCTATACCAGTCAGATGCAGCCAGCCTTACTTCTGCATGGCTTGCTCAGTAGATAACCCTCTTGCTTCAGGATCCTGCAGGAATTCTATGTATGGCTCCCACAAGGGCTGCTGGCTGTGGAGGCAGAGAGCAAGCAGCAGGTGGGAAAGGGTCAGAGACAGGCTTGGTGGTGTTCCCATGACTTTCCACCAAGGTGGCATGGAAAGGCTGAGGTGAATCCTCCCCTGAGAAGTGGGCACGTTGGGGAGCAATGAATGTTTGCTTTTTGCATGCCCACAGGTATCTGTGTCTCTGGTTTCTTTCACTCATGGGCTGTACAGAGACTTCAGCGGTGGGGCACAGGCTGTATCTTTTCTGAGCACTGACCTTTCCTTCTCCCACCCCTTGCAGAGGGCACTGTCAGGCTGGCTGGTGGCCGCAGCCCCAGCGAAGGCCGGGTAGAAGTTTATTACAATGGAGACTGGGGCACGGTGTGCGATGATGGCTGGACAGACCTCAGTGCCCTGGTAGTCTGCAGGCAGCTGGGCTTCAGGTAGGACTGAGAGTGTGTGTAGTGTCTGTGCTTCCTCGTTTCAAGGATTAGATTCCATCATCCTTCACTGGGATAGGTTGGACCTTAATCCTTCAATGCTGTCTTTGTTAGAAAGTTTATTACCATTATGCAGCTTTATTCAGGAAAGATTAATGGGTATCCACATCCTTTCCAAGGGCAAAAAATAAAACTTTATTATCTCCTGCCTCAGCTGGTTTTGAAGCAGATAACAGACTTGATACTGTCTTTCTAAACCCCTCACCGAAGTCAGAAAGTTCTCTCAAAACTTCTTAAATTTGCAGGTGTATCAGCTCAGCATTGCCACCCCCTCTGCTCTGTCACTAAACAGTATCACCCATCTGTTCTGTCAGCTAAACACATCACCTGCTTCAGTACCTGAACACATCAGGGCAAAAAAAGAGTAGTATTAAGGATTTTCATAATGCTTTTCTTTCAGCCCCATTGCTGAACTGTCATCCCTCCGAGTGTGAGCTTGAGGAAGATCTTAAATCAGGATACTGTAGTCTTGGAGACAGTAAAGGTGTTTTGTGGATTTTTTAAAATATGATTATAAAATTTCAGCTTTGTAGACTGAAAAAAGACTAAATTCTATCTATTGAGTTCAGCTGATACTCTGTGTGTCATCTCTCACAGTGCCTAAAATTTCAATTCCAGGTAGGTGCTTCCTATAAAAAGAAGCAGAATTACTTAAATGTTGATATTTCTGATGCCTGCTCTGCTAGCCCCCCCCCAAACTGATGTATCTGATGTTACGTCTGCAAAACAGCCTCTGTGGTACAGCCGGCCCTGTGTGCTACTGTGCCTTTGAGCGGACACTAGAAAATGGACTGGTCTGAGCAGGCCTTCCTGAAAACTGAAGCTGGTGAGATGTGCAAGCTTCTTGGTTGCCATCCTGTGTGTCACTGAGTGGTTTAGGTCAGGAAGCCTCTGATACCACAGTTGAGCTCTGCAGGGGTATTTCCCTTTGGGTCTAAGTTTGTGTCTAATCCCCTCTGTGGGATTAATGAGTTTTAGTGAGTCTAATGTTATGTTTCCTTCCTCTAGTGGTCCTGCTACCCTGGCCTCTGAAGTGGACTATGCTGCTGGCCAAGGCTTTATCTTACTGGACGATGTGGCTTGTGTGGGGACAGAGCTGTCCCTCCTGGACTGTCCCCACAGCAACTGGGGGCAGCATGACTGCTCACACGCTGAGGATGTGGGAGTCCGCTGTTCCCCAGAGAGCAACACAGTCATGGATGGCAGCCTGGGTAACTCGCCTTGCTTCTTGCCCTGGGCGGTGGGGAGGTGTCACCTGCTGGCCTGTTCCTTGGGAAGCTCTGGCAGATGTGGGAGTTTTCCCTGTGCTGTTTCAGTGAGGGGGCTGCTTTTTGAGGAGGACTCCAAGGAATGAGACCTGGCTGTCTTGGGGCAGCGTTGTGGCTCCACCAGCCCTACGCCCAGCCCTGCAGAGAAACTGAAACTGGAGAGAATTGTGCTGGCAGTCTCCAAAACAAACCTGAGGGCCTGAGAGATGGTGGTTGCCTTAGTGTGCCATTGCTCACTGATGAGATGCCTCAGCACCATGTCTGTGGCAACATAGGACCCCTTTAACTAGACCCTTTAGGAAGCTGGTGTAGTTATGTTAGTGTCGCACCTTGCCAAGACAAGAAGACTTCAGATGTGAGGGGCTGTTGTGTGGAAATTTGCACTCTCTTGTGTGGATGGCACACTTTAATTAAAACTGTGAATATATTTCAATTAGCATACTTTCCTCATTTGTATGTGGCCTGATACTCTCCCCCTTCCCTAATACATAAGACTTTCAAGTTTGTCAGACATTTTTTACTGAAATAGATCGTATCCAACATTTTTGGTTTTCCTGGATGTAGAACTCTTCTCTTGCTTAGAATAATTTAATAGTTTTATAATTTAATGGAATTCTTTCCCAGGCATGTTTAAGCTTGTCCACTCTTGGCTCAGAAGTAAATAACTTTCCTTCTGTTGTTCTTCTCCTCTTTACCCAGCTTTCAGAATATGATCCACTAATGATTTCCAGTATGTATTAAATTAATACGTTTGTAGTCTTCTGATTCAGTGCAGAGCTGGAATGTCTTCATATAGAAACACTCCTTTTTCTTTTTTTTTCTCTTTTTTTTTTTTTTTAATTTTTTTTTTTATTCTCACCGATACCTGGGGTTCACCCTTTCCTGTAGAACCCAGGTTCTGGGCACTTCACACTCTTGAGTGTTTTTGCTTGCAGCGACCCATGTTTTCTTCTGCAGGGCCTCCTGTGCGGCTCATGGATGGAGAAAGCACCAAGGAGGGACGAGTTGAGGTATTCCTGAATGGGCAGTGGGGCAGCATCTGTGATGATGGCTGGACAGACAGAGATGCTGCAGTGGTTTGCAGGCAGCTGGGATTCAGGTAAGAGCTCTGGTACATGCATCATACAGATAGAAACAACTCTCAGGGGGATCACTTCTTTCTGGACCAGTTTCTGGGGGCTTCCTTTCTTAGTTTTGGCATACTCACATATGCTTGAGGGTGTAGGGTCATATTCTCACTGTATCCTGTCTCTGTGTAGAGTGACATGTATATGTTATTTCTCTTAAAATGTGCTGGTGCACCAGGTTCACCTGCCTCCTGCCTACTGCAGGCTAGCCACCCTCTCTCTACTTGCAGTGGTACAGCAAAAGCCAGGGCAATGGCTTATTTTGGCGAAGGCCATGGGCCCATTCATCTTGACAACGTAGAATGCAGAGGCACGGAGCACACCCTGGGGCAATGTGTGAGGCCTGACACCGGGATTCACAGCTGCTGGCACAGTGAGGATGCTGGTGTGATCTGTGACTATGTGGAAGAGACGGTCCAAGATACCAGGAGAACAGGTGACATGCCCATTTCTTCTGTGCAGGAATCTGTAGCTCCAGCTGTAGGATCTCTGAATGCTTTTATGCTTTTTACCTGTACTTCTTCCGTTGGCTGAAAATTAAGCATGTCCTGTCCCACACCTCCTACTTTATCCTTGGTTTTGCTGCTGCTTCTTAGAAGCATCAGGTGCTGCATACTAGTCTGAGGAGCTCCACCCATGTCAGGCCTTTGAGCCTGCAGAACTGCCCCACAGCCAGATCACCGTACCCTTCCTTAGAGCAAAGGGTAACCATGAGCAAACTTTGGGGTTTATGGTACAGAGGAAATAGCTGTGGAGGTCCCATTCCTTGCATAAGACTACAGGTACTGCAGGTAAGCACCTCCACCAAAACTGAGGAAACCTGTGGGATCAAATCTTCTATGAATTTCATATGCACAACACAATAGAGTCAACTACAATGAAGATTAATGCCCTTGGGGAAGGTGAATGGTGTTTGGCTCTGTGACAGCAATTGCTGATACTTAAGCTGAAGGAACCTACCCAATGGCTCTAAATTTGCTGTGCAGGTCCAGAGTCTGCTGTGTGCGGGATGCGCCTGCTTCACCGTCGTAAGAAAAGGATCATAGGTGGAAACAAGTCCCTCAGGTACTACTTGTAATTGCTGGGAAAGCCAGAACTGGTTCCAGCTTTCCTACAGGCTCTGGAAATAGCCTGGCAAATGCTGAATATAGTGACACATTTTCACTGGTGATTTTTGAACTTGATTTGAAGCAGTGGGTCTGTCTAGGGAAGGATGCACGCCAGCTGAGCCGAAGTGGGGCAGAGTGGATGGGAAAAGAGGAAACCAGCTTGCATGTGTATGACACCTATTATTCCTCTGTTTCTTCTTCAGAGGCAGTTGGCCATGGCAGGCCTCACTGCGGTTGAAGGGTTTTCATCGAGATACTCGTCTGCTGTGCGGAGCAACCCTGATCAGCAGCTGCTGGGTAGTGACTGCAGCTCACTGCTTCAAAAGGTGTGTTTGTGAGTTGGGGAGCCCTGAGGGATATGCAGTGATGAACAAGATAACCTCATACAAGGTTATCCTACCAGCCCAGTGGAACCACATGAGCAAAGTTTCTAAACCAAGACCTTTGAGTTACGATGTGTGGGATCTTGAAGCACTTAAGGGTGTGACTCAATATAGGCTTGCTTTATCCTTCACTGCTTACACCTGCCCTCTTAACTTTGAGGCTTTACAACTTAAAGGGATCCAGCATTTTGCCATTCTTCAGTGCTTTAAGGAACTGTGAACAGTTGAGATCACAAGCCTGTTGCAAGTATTGTAGCCCTTTTTATAGAGAAAAAAAGTCCTGTGCATGGTAAGACAGTGATTTAGGACACCCATTGACTGCAACAGCTGGCATTATCACATCTACTAAAGACATCCCAGATCCTGCAGCTGGCAGTGTTTTATCAGTTTGTGAGGAGGTCGATCAGTCTCACAGCAACCAAGACTTGCATGAGTCTGTTTCCTTCTCAGCAGGAGTATCAAGATCTTGAGTCTCTTTTTCTCCAGGTTTGGAATTGATGTGCGGCGCTACCTGCTGCGGGTGGGTGATTACCACACAGGCGTGAAGGATGAGTTTGAGAGGGAGCTGCCTGTGGAGCGGATTGTCCTCCACAGGAACTACTGGGCTGGCAGCAATGATAACGACATTGCCCTGGTCCGGATGCGGGGCAGAGAGGGGCACTGTCTGTCCTTCAATCGCCATGTTCTGCCTGTCTGCCTGCCTGACAGGAAGGAGAAGTCCGACATCAATAGGCAAGCCTGCATCATCTCTGGCTGGGGAGACACAGGTGAGTGAGGTGGCTTTGATGGGCAAGAAAGGTTGCAGAGTCTGGGTTCAGAAGCATACATGGGCCATTAATTTACATCTGCACAACTCAAGGCCATGTTCTTACTGCTCCTATTTGTCTGTGCTAGTGCATGGTGTTAAGGAGTGGGGAGGTGAGGTGATTTTTGTGCCATTGTGTTTTCTTCTGATTTTGAGGCTTCTTGAGCCTGCCCAAGGTGGAAGTTTTAGTTGCCACAGCATCCCTCTGAAACGGTAGGAGACAGCAATAATGCCATCTGGCCACCGTCCTCTCTTCCCCTTTCTACACACATTTGCCCACAGCAGACCCCTTAGGCAGCCGCCTGTGCGGAGCTGGTGTACAAAGTCTATAGAGGCCCTCATGTTTCCATCACCTCCTGCCTTCTTCATGATACTGTCATAGTGAAGTGGGGGCTCAGAGGTGGAACGGATCTCTCTTAAGATTACCTTGCTCTGTCTCCCTGGATATTGCTGTAGGGACAGCTGGGCTCTGAAGCTGGCTTCTGCACTCGGTTCGAGACAGCCTATACCTGTCCTCTTGTAGCACATTGCTATGGAGTTTCCTAGGTAAAAGGGAGCAGGGAATCTTCTAGAAAGTATTCATTATTAAATACTTAACTCTCTCAAGGCAATGTTTGAAAATGCTGGGCTTGGTGGAGTCCTCACATGGATGCATTAGCAAGGTCTGGAGACAGCTTTCAACTCTAAACAAAGCTTTATAACCAGCTGTCCAGTCTCCCCTCATTTGAGGATCAGAGATGCAATGCAAAGCTTGGAGCAAGGAGGCCTTTCTGGGGCTGCTGTAATGGGAGCAAAGCCATGTGTTCAGAAAGACTTCCTGCCAAGAGGCAAATAGCCCCAGGAGCTTGTCTGTTGACTTTGGACTTACCCATCCTTCCCAGCTGTTTCCCTAGCTGTTACCCTATGGGTTCAACTGCAAGTATACATTTGCCTTTGGAGTCAGTTACACAAGGTGCACATGTCATCTCAGGCTGCCTGTGGAGGATCAAGGAGCATTTTAGCCTTAGAACTCCCTTAAGCTGTACTGGGGCTTAATGGCCAGAATCCCTCCCACACACCGATCCCACTTTCCCAATGAAAGGGGCAGTTAACCGCCTACCTTGTAAGCTTACCACAAAGCTTGAGCACAGAAAGGTTGTACTCTAACATAGCACATGAAACTTATGTCCTGAGCAAGACTGGGGTAATAAAGAGATTTGAATAAATCTGGCCAAAGATGAAGTGAGCTCCCTTTGAATAATATTTGGATGCTTCTGAAACATCTTCCAAAACTTCTTTGAGGATTGAGCACTTAATAAATATTACTGCATTTGTTCTCTTGAGAAAACACTGCTCTTATTTTACAGAGGAGGAAATGAAGGGTCAAAGAAGTGAAATGAGTTGAACAAGGTTTAAGTTACTTGTCACAACCAGGAGTAAGACTCATCCTTTGATCTAACCTTTTTCTCCAACCTCTTCCCCCTTTCTTTGATCTTACAGCTCTTTTTTGTGGTCTGGCTTGGCAGCACTGTCTTCTGAAGTTCTGGTTGTTCAGAGATGCTGAGCTTGGCCTATTATTCTGCCATAGTCTTGACACGAAATGTACAAATGTCTGGGTTTGTGTGGAGCACCGTTGCTCTAGGTCGCTGCTGTTGTCTGTATGTGAATTGGTCTGGATGGTCTGTTCTGTTCTGTTCCAGGGAAGTCCTACTCAAGAACCCTGCTGCAGGGGGTGGTGCCTCTTCTCCCACGGGAAGACTGTGAGGCCCGCTATGGGCACAAGTTCACGAACCGCATGATTTGTGCTGGGAACCTCTCTGAAGACAAACGGGTGGACAGCTGCCAAGGTGACAGCGGAGGGCCACTCATGTGCCAGAGGTCAAACGGGCGCTGGGTCATTGTGGGCATCACCTCCTGGGGTTATGGCTGTGGTCGGAAGGATTCCCCAGGTGTGTACACAAAGGTCAGCAAATACGTACCCTGGATCAAGAAAGTGACCAAGCTAAAATGAAAATGTCTGAGCTCTGAGAACTTCAACATATGGCCCTTTTGCCCCACAGCAGCAGAAGGCTGTGGCTCCTGGCCTGTGAGTGGTGGAGATTGGACACTGGGAAGAGACTTTTCATGTAGAACTGGGAGAAAAACAGTTATGGCTGATTCTTCACAGTCTTTGGTTTCACTTTAGTCTGTGATCTCTGAGCAGAGAAAGCAGGTGCTCACTGGTAAGAGTAAGTCTATGTTGCTCTGATTACCTGAGTCCTGTAATGTAATCACACTTGTTGCCCTGGCACGCAGAAATGGTGTAAGTGGAGAGATACCTGCCTCTGTAAATCTATTCCTGGTTTTGTATGTTTGCACAGTTGAAAAGTGCTGTGAGGAAAGGTGAGATGCTTGGAAGATGGCACCAGGCTCTGGCATAGCTGAAATCTGTGGATTTTCTTTTCATAACAGCTGTCTTCAATTCTGAGAATCAGAGATTTGACCTGAGGTGAGGAATAGGCCAACAGCTGGGTTTTTCCTTCCCTGTTATGTCTCCAGGATGAATCTTTTCTCTTCTGAATAGTAGATCTGCTCCCATATGATCCCTTTAAAGTGTCTTTCCCTGCTAAGATGCTTGTTCCTGCCATAATCCTCTATCACATGTTTCCAGCTGCCAGATGCTACGGTTTTATTGCTACTTTCTCAGTATAGTGGTTCTTTTGTGTTTGTTAGGTTTAGTTGGGTTTTGGTTTGGTTTGGTTTTTTTTCTTAAAGCAGCATTTCATAGAATCAGTTGTTGGTGTGAGAGTAAATCTTCATTTTTTAAGAGAGAATAGCTTTCTTGCCCCTGTGTTTACTACAAAGAACTTAAAAATGTGGCCTCAAAAGGCTGCACAGACGTGTTATTTTTCTTTAAATCCAAATGTAATATTTATCTCAAATATTCAGGTGTTGAATCATTGTTTAACAATACTGCAAGGGCTTTCTCTTGATACTTTATTCACCACAGTTATTAGCTGCCCTTTATTTGTGATGTTAGTCTTTAATAGCTCTGTGCTCACGATTCTCCCATGAAATATGGAAATACTCCTGGGGTACAGATGCACCCCAAGCAACTTACTCGCTCCTTGTGTAAAACACGAAGCGTGCTGCAAAGCAGCTTCCTGCTTTCCCAAAGTGTATCCTATTCTTGCAACCTCTGGGCTATGCTTCCTCTCTTCTCCCCTTTCATTCCTTTCAGTGGGGTTAAACCGGCTTAACCCGAGGCTATGCAAACACTGCCATCAAGCTGTAGTTCTCAGCCTGGGCAGAAACAATCCTGAGAGAAAGCAGACATTCATGAATACTTCAATTTCATCCTTCCCTCCCATCCAAACAAACGAGCCGAGTTTCCTCTTAGGCCTTAAGCACTTTTGTAAGTTAATTTATTATTCTCGAGTGGGTAGAAAATATAAAACCAGGCAGAAAGGCTAAGCACATTAACAGTTGTGCAGTACATAGCGTCTTCTCACTGTGTATAGACCAGCCAGAGAGAAGACAGTTCTGCTCAGGAGCAAGGGCAGTAATCTTTGATGTATAACCAAGGACTCGAACACAGAGTAGTCATACAGGATGGGACACACAGAACTTGTCACGATGTGCATGTTTGGGGTTCACTCGTGCACTGTAGGGTAGGCAGTGACTGGGTCAGGCACTGGCCTGCTGCCTGGAAGGTCTACACCCAAGGCGCTGAGGTGTTCGATACCTAGGTATTACCAAGGCAAGAATAGAAGGCAGAGCACAGCCTATGGATTAGCAAAGTCATGCTACAGGACGTGTGGTGACAGAGTCTTAGAAATTGCTTTGGATTCAATAAGCAGTGATTGCCTAAAGCTTTAATTTGTCTTCTACAAGAGAGCTTTATGTAAAGGAGCTGACCTGGCTAGGTGGCTGATTTTTGTGTGCGAATGCTAAAGTAAACAGTTCCATTTACTCCTTCCAGGGATTATGGGATAATTGGGTTACCAGTGTTGCAATGGAATGTTTAAAGATCCTGCTTGGAAACTCTCTTTTAAAAAAGAATTCTAGGAATCTTTAAAACATGCAATGCCAGAATCCCTGCAAACTGGCCTTTGGCACAGATCAGATCTGTGTGTGCTGCTTCTGGAAGGGCTGGAAGTCAGCAGTGCAGCTTGTGCTGATAACCCTATTTGAAGTGCCAAGCTTGATCCTTTGGCAGTGCTGTGCTTGGCTCCATGCTGGCCCTAAGACACAAGCTGCAGACTGCTCCTTATCTCCCAGGAATTAAAATTACAGGAGGACTGAGGGCAGTTATGTCACAGACCTCTGGTCTTGCAGAGGATTAAATGCCAAGTTCCACACTGGCAGTAACAGTACTTCTCTGGGAAACATGGAGTGATTTGGCTTTACCTTCAGCCTCCCCAAGCCAGCATGCTACAGCAGCTCTAGTGGAGTTTCTGTGCCTTGGGTGCTGTCACATCTCTAGTTTAACCTGGTTTGATCTTTCAGTTTATACCCGTAACTCCAACAGGCACAGAAGCACCTGAAGGATTGAAACTATGAGGTTATTTTCCTAAGCCTACCTAGCTGGTTGCCATTCAGGAATTAGAATAAATTACCATGTAATCACAAGTGAGATGCAGGCTTGGCATTGTGTTCTGAATTTCCCATGTTCTAGTTCAAAATATTTCTTTCTCCTAGATCTTGTCACCATGAAAGCTGTGACAATCCTTGTAATGAATATCCTGAGAGTCCTGCATGAGCCAGAAAGAGGGAAGGAAGTATCTAGTCTCTACATTTACACATTACTGGTACTGTAGGCAAGCCTGCCAATACTGTTGTCAATTGTCCCAGTCTGTTTCAGACCACTACTATTGCTCTTTTGGGTTTAAATCAGGACCGTGGACCAAACCAAACTCTCATACTTTGCCACCAAGGCTTATTGGAACTGCCTTGGTAAGTGGCACCCAACCATCCTAGGACTGTATTTTGTACCTAATGTTGGCCAGCAGCAGATGTTTGAGGGATTGTACATGTCAGTTTGTACTGAACAAGTTTTAACAGCCTTTCCTTTTGGGGAATTTTGTTCTTGGCCCGTTTAAATTAATTACTTGCATTACTATTACTATCATTAAAAATAGAAGTACAAGTACTTAGTCCTCCAGGTGTTACACAAGCACTATGCACTATCCTGTTGTGATTGTTTTTTGTCTAAAGCATGAGAATTTATATCCTTATCTTAAAAAAAATATATTTAATGTAACCAGCCTTCATCTTCCATATAAATGTTTAATCCCATATTTAATCCAACTAAGCTCTCAGCCTCAGTATTTTCTGGCAATGAGAACCAATACAATTTTACTCTCCATAGCACATAATTTCTTTTTATGGTTCCTGAATTAATTGCCTTTTGTTTTCATTGAATTCCATCTGTCCTTGTGTTCTCAGCTATGAGAGGAAATAAGAGGCCTGGCTTTATATTCTCTGTTGTCCATCACTCTAGAGATAATCCCTTTTTTAAAACTGTGGTTTCTCTGTCTCTCTTCAACCCAAAATGTTTAGTTATCTGATAACATGATGACTGTCTCTCCATGTCTTCTCTTTCTGCAGTATCTTTTGAGCTTTGGTAACCAGAACTGAATGCAGTTTGCCAGGGGAGGCTGTGCCATCTGCTGATTATTTTCAGTATTATTTTCTGTACTAGGTAATGCTGTAAGTGATTTCAGTGCTGTATATTATGTATGTATGCTGTAGCTACCTTTAAACTTGCTAGTGTGGTCTTGGGGGCAACCTAGCTACAATGGGATGAAAACCTGCCAAGGTTATTTCCCCCTTGTGTCTCGGGCGGGTGCTGAGCTCAGAGCAATTGCTGTGGGTACGTCTGCGGAGCACAATGCAGCTCTGGGCAAGGAGCACATGAACGTAGAGCTTTGCCTTGGCTGACATACCTGTAGGTCTGATACAGTCTGTCTTCACAGCATTAGTCCGTTGGATAAGGTTAATGCACAGCCACTATTTCCAGGAGCTGAGAGCTCAGTCACTGTTACTGGTGGTGGCACCGAGCCACATGGGTGCTGTGAGACAACTTCCTACAGCACCGTGGCACACACTAGTTACGTGATAAAGGGAACGACACTATGACTGACTGGGAGCATTGGCAGGATTAGAAACATGGCTATGATAAGGATGTAAGGAACAGCTATTAGAGCTCCAGGTATCCTTCTTTGAGGGAATACCCAGTGCTGGTGTCTTCCTGACCTGCAGTGCCTGCACTGCTACCCTTAACAGCGCTGTCTTGACTCCAATCCAGACTTTGGCCAGCTGAAGCTGGGTTAAAGATTTATCCCTTTCCTGTAACTGAACACTGTTCTGATGATTTATATGAATTATGTTCTATGCTGTGATTAATCAGGCAGCTGTTTATTAACTTGGACAAAATGTCGATTACCCTTGTATGCAGAGAATAACAGATCAGTTTCTCAAAGGTATTAGTGGAGGCATTGGTGAGGAACAGGGAACATGGATATTTGCAATCTCAGGGGTAGAAGAGGTGGACCTGCCTTTTGCCTGTCTTCTTTTCTCTCTGAAGTCAATATCCTGAAGTCTTTTCACCCCAAAAAAGCTGCAGTGATCTATCAACCACTTCAAGACAGATTTTAATGTGTGTATTCAGCAATCAGATGAAAGCTTTTGAGAGATGAACTGAACTGTGGTATTAAACACCATCTTGACAGACTCACTGGGAGTTGCTTGCAGCTGAAGGGAACAGAATGGCCTCAAGTGGTAACCAACTTGAGACCACCTCTTGTGGAATGAGGCACTGTGACCCAAACCAGTGCACATCTCTTGGGCTGTATGTTTACTTGTCCAGAAAAGTATTTAATTTCTTATATCAAGAAAAAATCTCACTTGTCTAGTAGTCTACTCAGTCCTATTAAAATCCCTTTCTGTTAACCAGGGGCTGTGTACCTCTGACATCAGTCAAGTGCCAAAACTTTCATGTCCCCTGGATCAACACCAATGGCTCATAAGGTATGCTAATAAATGGATTATACTGTGACCGTGTGAAGCTCTGTCTTATTTTTAATCAAGGGCAGGTTTGGGGATTTTTTTTCAGCACTGAATTAAGCTAATTAAATTTCTGTATTAATGTTATTTTTAGAGCAGATTTAACATGCTAAAGCATGTTACAAAGTCAGCATCATCTTAGCTACTGTTACAATGAAGTGCAACAGTTCTTCAAATGCCC